GAGAGAGAGAGAGAGAGAGAGAGAGAGAGAGAGAGAGAGAGAGAGAGAGAGAGAGAGAGAGAGAGAGAGAGAGAGATGTGGGTTGGAATTGAGCTTACAAACTAGGGGAAATTCTGAGCTGTGCTGCCTGTGGGAATGCGCATTGATATGTCAATGAATGTATAGGTGGTCGGTGGTCTTGCTGGTACTACTACACGAATGGTCAGCTGTTCAGTCATGGCACTGGCACGCCTTCTGTACGAGTTTTCAACACGACTTTCACATACTGTGCCACAGCTGCTTCCAACTGTTCTTCTCCTGCTTCGGAGTAAGAGTCGTGAAATTGTCAAGGTATGATTCCTTAACGGCAATTCTGCTTTCGCGTTGCTTGCACTGTCAACTTTTCTGTGCATGGAATTGTCACTACCCTCTTTAGAGTCATTACCCATTGCACAAGCAGTGCACTGGAATTGTCTCTGTCGGGGCTGAAGACTGCAGAGCACTGTTTCTTCTTTATCTTCAATGTCGTTAGCTCTTGTCACCTTTGCTGTTGTTTACCTCTTTTTTTTCCGTAAGGTTGCAGACTTTGTTTGGTTAACTTCTGCTGACGGTCTGCTAGTTTATCATCATGCCAGCATTGTGCACTCACTGTTTTTTTTTTTTTTGTTGTTGTTTTTTCAGCATACGTAGCGTACGTGAAAACGTCAGCCATGTCTCTATCTGTATGTTTTCAATCTTGAGCAGTGGCCATGTCAGCATTGCGCAGTTGTCGCGGACACTTATTCTCTTTTGGTTCTTTCCGTAGGCCATGACACTTACCGTCAACTTTTCCCATTTCGCCCATCTCTGGTCGCTGCCTCTCAGGAAGTGCATGCACTGGTAGCACCTTGTGATGCTGAAAAGGAGTTGTTTGCGGCAAGAATTGATTCTATTCTTTAGCGGGTGATGATTGGGAAGAAGTATCGGTCAAATGATTGGGAAGAACTTCGAAGAAGTATCGGTCAGAATGTGGAGGTGCGATCATTGGGTCGGTCGCGTCGCTGGTATTGTTTTTATGATTTGTTTTGTGATGACTAATCTGCGGATGTCGTTTTGAAAGGCTTTTGCTGGTGTGTCCTTTCTGCTCCTGCTGACATTGATCTTTCTGTTTTTTTTTCCCTTCCTTGTACCAGGCCGTGCTGGGATTTGTCAAAGTGGTTGTAATGAGACTGCCTGGTACAGAGTTGGAACCACATTTAGGAACAATGATCGAGGGCCTAACTGTTTGGTCAGATGACACGAAGAACCACTTCAAAGCAAAGGTGAGAACGCAAGCCCTTCAAGTTGTCGTTCTCCTTCTCCTTCTTCTCCTCGTCCTCTTGTCCCCTGCCTGCTCCTGCTGTTTGTTCTTTTTCTCTTCCCTTTTTCCTCTTTTCCGCTCCTGTTTTTGCTTTCTTCTTCCTGTTTTTGCCCTTTCCCTCGCCCTCCTGCTGCTGTTTCATCCACGTTCTGCTGCTTCCTCTTGTCCCCCGTTCTGTCTTTTCTTCCTCTTCTCTTCTCCTCCTGCCGCTTCTACTACTGATACTCTTTTTTGTAGCGAAACGTTATGCTTACTTTTTCCACTCTCTCTCACCTCATTGCTTCATGTTCTTAGTACATGTTTGGATCAATAATGAAAACGTTGGCATTTCGCTGAATTTGTTGGACGCTTCATTTTAACTCGGACAGTGTTTTTGTGTTAGGGTTTTATAGTGTTTTTGTTTTTTTTTGTTTTTGTTTTTTGTTTTTTTTTTTGTTTTTTTTCGTTTTCTTTGGCCTGTTTCTTTTTTTGATGTTGCACTATGGGCCCATATCGTTTGGTTTTCAGTGTTTTTGAAATTTTCGATGAATTTCACACCAAAATTGCCGGCGAAAATGCCGAATATTTGCCCCCCCCGTTAACCATCTCTGTAATTTTCATATCGTTTGTTTTTCAATGTTTTTGAAATTTTCGATGAATTTCACACCAAAATTGCCGGCGAAAATGGCGAATATTTGCCCCCCTGTTAACCATCTCTCTTTTCGAATGGTTAATTTTCATACACACTTTTGTTTTTCATACGTCGACAACACGCCCATTGCAGAGGAGATGTATAAGCATTTTGGAGCATCCGTTTCGACGTGGCGCCCGCTGCTGCTGCCCGTTGGGGGCACAGAGAGAGAGAGAGAGAGAGAGAGCACTGACAGTGCTGCGAGTCCGAAGACTTTGACGTTCTGAATTGAACTGCAAAGTTCGAACTTTTAAGTTATACATGAAGTTATGAACTTAAAAGTTAAATTACTAAATCCAAAGTTCAGAGTTCAAAGTTAATCATACTTTTTTCAAAACAAAATTCTCTGTTTCTTTAGTCTTGTGCCTGCTTTGCACTGTTTGCAAATCTGCATGTCTGCTAGTTAAATGTGCTGGTTGATTCGCTGCAACACACGTGCTCTGCTGCCTGAACTACAGAGTGCAAAGCAGGTAAGTGCCTGCAAACACCCCCCCCCAACCCACGGGTGTTTTTTTTTTTTTTTTTGGGTCCGGACATTTTTGCACCCCCGGGGACCGGTCTGGACAGTCCGGTGTCCGGCGATGTCCGGATCACCGGACAGTCTGGACCGGTCCAGACACTGGTCCGGAAGTGTCCGGTGTCCGGGTCCGGGGTTACCATGCAGTGCATCCCCTTGTTTTTCAATGACCACGCTCGGGGCTCAAGATAGGAAAAAGCAAAGAAAGATGGATCCCAAATACGTTAGACCTGAAAGACATGAGAAAGGCAAAGCAAAGAACGATGAAAATCCAAATAGTTGTTTCGGTGCCCTTCGGTTTGTCCGTGTGTGAAAGAGCAGGAGCAGGGTAGGCTGTGGCTGCAGCTGCGGCTGTGTGAGTGTAGCGTAGCTCCGCAACGGGAGAATGGCAGGTTGCTTTATGACTGGAGATGGAACCTTTGGTCTCTTTCCATGTTCCAGAGGAGTCCCATAGGTACTCAACTTAGTCAGGTTTTGAGAGGAGCTAGGATTAGAGTAGGCTTTTTTTGTGTTCTCCTCATCAATGGTAGATCTTTGTCGTCCTCCCATTGGGCGAGGATCAGTTTACGGCGCCCTTTAGGCCCGGGGTTTTGCATTCTCCTCCTCGTTGGCGGATTTTCTCATTCTCCAAGGCCTGCGTTCCATTTTCATTCAAGCTAACCTTGGATGCGAATTCGAGTGTCGCCGTCTTTTGTTCGTTTACGTGTCATCCTTTCTTGGAGTGGTTTCCACTCCCAATTTGTGTGTTTGGTTGTCTGCATTTGAGCAGAAGATACATAAGCCCCACCATCTTACCTCTCAGCTGCTGTGTTGCTAGTTTGTCTTTTTATGATATAAACGTTGTAAAGGTATGTAGCACTATATAACTGCGGAGTAACAAATCGATCGTCAAGCGTCCGTTGAACTTGATCCCTCTACGACTGGTGGGAAATTGCAAATTCAGTTGTTTCATTTCACAGATTCTAAGGGCATAATCACACTACGGTCTTCACCCGAATAGAATGCCCGGTCATTATCGTTGTATCTAGTCCAGAAGTTGGCCCAAATGCAGCTACAACCACTGGGCTTTCTATTCGGGTGAAGACGGTAGGACTTTCCTCGACGGATCTGGCATCTCATGGAAGGGTATAAAATTACATCCTCGAGAACTGCTCGCAGTTATCTGTAGTGCCGTGGAGGTCAACATGCGGTTGCGGTCCGGTTGGGCCGACCGGACGTGGGCGGCCCCACTAGCTTTTGACTTTTTCCCCCATTCTGTCGTTTTGTCTTCTAGTCCTCTCCTATTTAGCAAAATAATCTGAAGAAACTTCATGGATGTAGGGTGCTTGCTGCTGCGTAAGGGAAAAATAGTAATGAAAAGTTACTCAAAAATGGTATGGGAAAAATAGTTGTTTTGTCTGTCAGAACAATTCTGACACAAATGTGTAGTGGGGCCATGGTTGCTAGTCCCACGCTGGGCCCTCGGAATGGTTTGGTACTATTGGTACTCAAGGGGTTAGCGAAATTTAGCATCAGGAACAGTTTGGAACCTTGGACCCTCAGGAACAGTTTGGTAGTCCAGCGGTGGGCGAAAAAATGAGCATTGAGCATCTGGAAAATAAGGGTCATAGGCCCTGCTTGCCTCAGCCAGAAGGTGGTGGTAGACCTGTGCTCTTTTCTCGATTTGTGCATGTCATCGTTCCGCAGCGGCCATGCTAATCTTTCTGTATCATCCCAATTTTAACAGATGTTCCCCTTTTCAAATCCCCTTGGAAGAATCTTTTATATGTCACTCGCGGCCAAACTTTGTTTCAACCAAGAGCTTTCTCTTTGACCCTTCATGATAGCGCATGACCGACAACGATTTGGCGGAGATGGCGGAGATGTACGAATCCCTGCAGTATTTTGTACTTTACTGACTCTTGCTTGCGAGCATCCAGGCACAAACACTGCAATGATTTGGACATCTCCCCCAAATCGCTGGCCATGAAGTGGTGGCCAAAACTGCTTCCAAATGGCTCCGATTCCGACCTAGTGCCTGGCAGACTTGTATATTGGCTAAAGTAGAAAACAGGGAATTAGTAAATTAGATAGAATTGTACTGACTAAACCTCCATATTATTTAACAAGTTGGGTTTTATGTCGATCGACGATCATATAAATAAGCACCTACATATTAAAAAAAAGGGCTGTAGAAAGTACTAGAAACCAGTCCATGACTTGACACGAGTAAAATACTTCCTTCCAAGTCCTTGTATATTCAATAGAGTGAAACTGAGTAAGGATGGGAAAAAGGAAAATGAAACCCTACAGGTTGGATTGCTCGGGTTTCCCAAGGACAAATTGTTTTTGAAATGGATGGGGTTACTTTGTCAAATGCTCAAGCAGCTGCTAATTTAGCTTTCACCTTCTCTGACGCTTGTCCCGGGCTATTAATGGTGAGAAGAGAAGGCTGCTGACTGGACCCCTCGGCTGCCGGGACAGTTGGTCAAATGTAGTAAGGATGTCGTGCTTTCGGTGAACCTGGCTGGTTTACAAGTTAGGTGCATGGTTTTGTAAGCACAAACATGGTATCAGTGGGGCCTGCTCCTGAACGGATGTGGTGCGTTCCGTGTGCAAACAAAATGTGGCTGCAATGTCAGCCTATATATTCCAAAAGCGCCCGAAGACCAAGTGTGAATTTCTGTGGGACACTCTATTTTGAACCACCAGTTCGTTTGAGCCTCGTTTGTTCGAGGCGGATTCCCTGTGCGTGCCAGTGTGGCATTTTTGTTTTACTTATCGCTGGTGCCACTAGCAATTTCCTCCCAACCCTCTAATAAAGCCCATCGGCTGTGGTTACCGTTTTTGTTGGACGCTCCCCGCCAAACGCCGTCCGCCGGATCCCTGCCATCTACGGTCCACGGACAGTTTTCCTCACATTCAGCTTCACTTTGTTTACCAACCTTTGACACCTTTTCTATCCCTGAATGTTTATGTTATCTTGTTTTTCTGACACCTTTCGCGTCCTTGTATCCATCTGTTATTAACTGGATACGGAAGTATCCGTGCCTTTTCTTACCTTCCTTTGTTGTGGTGCAGTTTCAAAAGGGCATCGACTCTTGAGCTCTAACCCCCAGAGTGTCCCAGGTCACAGCAGGATTGGTTCGGGTGACGAGAGTTACGCGGGGATCAGTTCTAACGCTTAACCGCCAGAGGGGCCAAACTCACAGGAGTGTTGCCTCATACCGCTAAACCCCAAAGCGGCCAACACACAAGGATGTTGTTGGTTATATGGCCCAAAGCGATCAAATGCACAGTGTGTGCCCACAAACTCTCGAGCCCTGGAGGGACTAAAGTCAGAGAGGCAATGTTTCGAACTCTGAAGCCCCGACTGCCTGAGTTTCATCGGGGTAATGGTTCTGATGTCAAAGTTCCAAGACAGATTTTCCCACAGTTGGATGTGCTGAGGAAAACAGTTTGTGGATGATTAGGAATTGTGACCTGTTTTCTAAGAAGTGTGCTGGCAATCCTCTTGCAGGTCCGCCTTATCTTTGAGATGCTGTTGAAGAGGTGTGGGTACGATGCCATTGCGGCAGTCATGCCTGAAGAACACATGAAGCTGCTTACAAATATCCGCAAGGTTAGTGCCTTTCACTCGCATCCAGTGTTATTGCCGACCTCTCGATGGATCTGCCTTTTGCTGGTGTAAGGTGCTTGTGTGTGCATGCTGGTGGGCATGTGTGTGTGGGTGTGTTTGTCTTTTTGTGGATGCTGTATGCGAGGAAAATGGGGGAGAGAATGGGGGAGCTCAAAGAAGGGAGGAAGTGAAAAGAAGGGTGAACAAGGGGTGTGTGTGTGTGTGTGTGTGTGTGTATGTGTGTGTGTGAGAGAGAGAGAGAGAGAGAGAGAGAGAGAGAGAGAGAGAGATGATGCGTGTGAAACACAAATATGGATCAACCTCAGCGTGGTGAAAGACCATGCACCACCACAACATTCTAGGAGGAAAGCACGCACCTAAGTGTGTCAAGTTGACAGACAATAGCACAAGGCAGCGGATGAAAAAGGCAGCAATCCAGGAAGTAGCTAGGCAAAAGAACAACAGGCAAGAAAAGTACAAGTGCTGAAAAAAAGAAAGAGCAAAAAAGAAAAAAAGGCGATGATGATAGATTGTTTCGTCGGAGTTGCACCAACTCGTCAGGAAGCTGAACCCTCGACAATCTGCGGAATCTGCATGTAGATGGTTTGGGTCGTGAACCCTTTGATCCTTGTCAAAAGCAGACTAGCAGCAGGCAGCATCGCAAGCAGAGCATAGCAGCAGACAAAGACTCAGCGAAGCACCAGGCAACGCTGCTGGAACACCCAACTGCAAAGTGTTAAAGCTAACGGCATGGAGTGGCAGCACAAGCGGACTGGCAGTAAAGCAACAGCACAGTGATGCACACACAAGCGCTGCAGCAGCGGCAAAACGTCATCACACAAGCAAAATGCACGGGAAGACAAGGCACGTGGATGGACAGCAAGGAAACACCGACAATGCACCCAAAAGCGATGATGATTGATTGTTTCGCTGGAGTTGCACCGACTCGTCACGAGGCTGAACACTTGACAATCTGCGGAATCCGCATGCTGATGGTTTGAAAGCAGACTAGCAGCAGGCAACATCGCAAGCGGAGCATAGCAGCAAGCAAGGACTCAGCGAAGCACCAGGCAACGTTGCCGGGACAACCCAACTGCAAAGTGTTAAAGCAACAGCACATCGACGCGCACACAAGCGCTGCAGCACTAGCGAAACTGCACGGAACACAAGCAAAATGCACGGGAAGGCAAGGCACACGGATAGACAGCAAGGCAACAGCGCAGCGAAGCACAAGGCAGCACCACAGCCCAACTGCAAAGTGTTAAACCAACAGCACAGCGACGCACTTGCAGCACTAGCGAAACGGCATGGAACACAAGCAAAATGCACGGGAAGACAAGGCACGCAGATGGACAGCAAGGCAAGACCAACAGTGCACCCAAACTACACAGCAACACACCAGCTGCAAAGAAAAACATGAGGACCGACATGAGGTGCAAGCGGGATTGGCAGGAAGGTAGTCGTGGAGCATAGAGAAGGCAGTCCACACATACAGCGTGGAGCTAAGCCATCCAAGACCACCTTACATCAGAGGAAGAACCCTGCAGACTGTTGGTTCCCGCCGACCGAGCCAGGAAGCCACGGCAATGGAAATCTACCATCACCTGTAGACCACATGCACCACAGACATCACAGACAGAGTGCCCCCCCTAAGAGTCCTGCAGGCACTCCAAACAACTGACCACGGACTGTTTAGCACTCCAGAAAGAGGAAATAAATAAAGCTGATTTTTTCTGTGTGTGTGTGCGGGTGTGTGTGTGTGTAAGGGTGTGTGTGTGTGTGTGTGTGTGTAAGGGTGTGTGTGTGTGTGTGTGTGTGTGTGTGTGTGNTGTGTGTGTGTGTGTGTAAGGGTGTGTGTGTGTGTGTGTGTGTGTGTGTGAGAGAGAGAGAGAGAGAGAGAGAGAGAGAGAGAGAGAGGCCGACAACTTCCTGAAAGAACATATGTAAAAGGTACAAAAAAAGGAGGGCGAAAGTGGTGCAGTGGTGACGGTGGTGAACGAGTCTGCCTTTTGTTATGGCTGTGATGATGCCTGCAGAGTAGGGATAGAGCTGAGAGACACCGAAAGGAGGGGAGAAGTGTTGCAGGTGATGGAGCGCAATCAATGAAGTCGAGGGCCACAACTGCCAGGTAAGGACGCATGGTGCACCATCGGAATATCATGTGCTGTTTTGCATTTCTTCTGGAGTGGTCTGGTGTCGCCCCATGGGGTATGTATGTACCACAAGCTTCTTCCCCAAATATCAATGCGTGAAACTTCTCTATTTCAGCCGTCTGTTCCCATCTCTGTTTTTTGTCTGTATTATAGTTTTCGGAAATCGAACCAGAATTTCTCGAACCTTGGTGGTTAGAAACTGGACTTACTAGTCCTTCCGGACATACAGAGAAGATTAGCATGGCTAATTAAAAAAAAAAAGAAAAAAAAAAAGGACTTACTATAAAAAAAAAGAAGAAAAAAAAAAAACAAAAAAAAGAAAGGACTTACTAGTCCTTCCGGACATCCGTTAAAATTGGAACGCTACGGAGAAGATTGGCATGGCTAATTAAAAAAAAAAAGAAAAAAAAAAGGACTTGCTATAAAAAAAAGAAAAAAGAAAAAAGAAATAAAGAAAGGACGTACTACTAGTTACTACTAGTTACTAGACAGGCGTCCGGTGTGTCTAAATGCCAGTACCTACATGTTTTCGGAACTCTCTCGGAGCTTTCATTTACCGAGTCATCGATGAATTATGCACACACATGGTAGTTAAAAACTCAGTAGGAAGTAGTCCTTCGGGACATCCCCGTTAAAACTCGAATGATACAAGAAGATTAGCATGGCCGATGCGCAAGGATGACACACAAAAATCAAGAAACGGTCCAAAAAGAAAACGAAAAAAAGAACGAAAAACAAATACGCAGTAGGAAGTATACTGCAGGTGCCAGGTAGGCATATATATCATTCATTGTTCGGGATGAAGGGCACTGGAGTTCCATTCCCATTGCTCGCGGTTTCAGATGCACCCATCTCTGATCGTTTTTGTGCAGCAACATAACGCTAACCTGCTGCCTAGAATGAAACAACGACCCTAAAGGGCCTCGAGCCCTAAACCCTAAACCCCCTCCATGTATTCTTTTGCATTTCTTCCGGGGTAGTCTGGCTGGCGTCCTTCACATTTCCTGGCTTTGCTGTCAATAGCACATTCTGGAGGTAAACTGGATTGTGAATCGCAAATTTTGAGATCTACCTTCTTCCCCCAAACACAGTGCCCGTGAAAACCCAGGTGTGTTAGTCAGCTGATCCACTGTGAAACTTTCAGTCGCGCATCGGGACTCGAATCCCCGGTGTGCTAGGCGACCCTTTGTCTTAGTTCAAAGTCCCCTGACAACATGCACATCTAGCAGCAGACCACATATGCAGTCAGTGTCGGTCTTTTCTGCTTCTGGATCTTCTCTCGAATGCAGCAACCAATCTTGGGACTGCATTTATCACCCTCTTGTCTTCTTCTTCTTCTTCTTCTTCTTCTTCCGCAGGGTTCTCTCAAGTGCAGCAACCCTCTATCGATATAAGGAACTCCCTCTATAGATCAACCCATCTTCTTCTTCCTGAGGGCAGTTGGTGAATTCAACCCTGTAGATCTTGCCGGGCCATTGGGGGGATGCTCGTCCCAGATGGTGATCAACAATCCTATCGATCTCCGCCTGTCCATCTGTTGCTGGATTTTGCATGCCCCTCCTTTCTTTCGAGTGGCGTGTTGTATAGAATACGAAATCTACGAAAAATAATGTACTGCGGTGATCCTTCGCTTTCTCATCAAAGATCAATTAGACATTGCAGGGGAATTGCTTTGTCCTGACGAGAACTCCATCGTTGACAACCTCCAGTAGACGCAAAAGGTATGGAGCCTCCATTCACCATGTGCAACCGTCAGCGACTTCCCTAAAGAAGTAATTCTGCGGCGAACACAGTAGTTAGTCATGGTCTTTGCAACGACCCTGCTAACCGCTGTGTTGATCCTGGTGGCCAGCTCCTCTTCATTGAATGTTTCAACAGGCTCCCATCATCGCGTGTCAGTTTGCAGGGTGCAATAAGCCTATCCAATCCTCGGTGGTGTGCTGACGCCGGCAGCAGAGGGCCAATGGACACAGAGGCATGATGCCCATCTCTGCTCTTCTCACCAGCACTCTCGCTGCAGTCTTTCTCTTCGCACTTTACAGAAATACACTTCTCGCTTTAGTGGGGATGTAGTTGTAGCTAACTCAGGGTTTCGAAGGTGGGAGAACTTGGCACCGTGTACTTTGCACAGTTACCCTTCGCACTTTGCAGAATTACCCTTTTGCAGCTTCAGTGGATTTGACTGCATCATGCATGGGCTCTATTCTCTTTCTGGGTTCTGTGACCAAGAGGACGTCAGTAAGTCTCCAAAATGACTGCAGCACTTCACACGTCCTTCGCTAACCATCCCTCGAGTCAGAAGTCCCTGCATGATTCCAACTCTCTCTCTCTCTCTCTCTCAAGCCTTTTCGGTGGTCTGAGCACCCACTGAGGAATTGCTGTCCTCCCTCCCCCTTCTCCTCCACCTCCTCCGCCACCTCCTCCTCCTCCTTCTTCTTCTTCCTCCTCTTCTTCTTCTTCTTCTTCCTCTTCCTCCTCTTCCTCCTCTTCCTCCTCTTCGTCTTCCTCCTCTTCCTCCTCCTCTTCGCCTTTCTCTTCGTCTTCCTCTTCGTCGTCTTCGTCTTCTTCGTCTTCTTCTTCTTCTTCTTCTTCTTCTTCTTCTTCTTCTTCTTCTTCTTCTCCTCCTCCTCCTCCTCCTTCTCCTTCTCCTTCGCCGCCGCCTTCTTCACCTTCGCCTTCTTCGCCTTCGCCTTCTTCGCCTTCTTCTTCGCCGCCTTCTTCACCTTCTTCTTCTTCTTCTTCTTCTTCTTCTCCTTCTCCTTCTCCTTCTCCTTCTCCTTCTCCTTCGTTGCCGCCGCCTTCGCCGCCTTCGCCGCCTTCTTCTTCTTCTTTGCCTTCTTCTTTGCCTTCTTCTTTGCCTTCTTCTTCGCCTTCTTCTTCGCCTTCGCCTTCTTCTTCGCCTTCTTCTTTGCGGCCTTCTTCGCCTTCTTCTTTGCCGCCTTCTTCGCCGCCTTCTTGCCTTCTTCGCCTTCGCCTTCTTCTTCTTATTCGCCTTCTTCGCCTTCTTCTTCTTCGCCTTCTTCGCCTTCTTCGCCTTCTTCGCCTCTTCGCCTCCTTCTTCGCCTCCTTCTTCGCCTTCTTCGCCTTCCTCGCCTTCTTTGCCTTCTTCTTCGCCTTCGCCTTCTTCTTCCCCTTCGCCGTCGCCTTCTTTGCGTTCGCGTTCGCCTTCTGCGCCTTCTGCGCCTTCTTCGCCTTCTTCGCCTTCTTCGCGTTTGCCTTCACCTTCGCCTTTGCCTTCTTCTTCGCCTTCTTCTTCATCTTCGCTGCCTTCGCCTTCTTCTTCTTCTTCTTTGCCTTCTTATTCTTCTTCTTCGCGTTCTTCACCTTCTTCGGCTTCTTCTTCGCCTTCTTCTTCGCCCTTTTCTTCGCCTTCTTCGCCTTCTTCGCCTTCTTCGCCTTCTTCTTCGCCTTCTTCTTCGCCTTCTTCGCCTTCTTCGCCTCTTCTCCTTCGCCTTCGCCTTTGCCTTCTCCTTCTTCGCCTTCGCCTTCGCCTCCTTCACCTTCGCCTTCCGCCTTCTTCGCCTTCGCCTTCGCCTTCTTCGCGTTCGCCTTCACCTTCGCCTTCTTCCTTGCCTTCTTCGCCTTCGCCTTCTTCGCCTTCGCCTTCTTGAACTTCTTCTTCTTCGCCTTCTTCTTCTTCGCATTCGCCTTCGCCTTCTTCTTCTTCTTCTTCTTCTTCTTCTTCTTCTTCTTCTTCTTCTTCTTTGCGTTCTTCTTTGCCTGATGAATCACACAAAGGATTGCTTAGCTCTGTCTCTCCACTGCAGGCCAGGCGGTTCTCCCTCTCCATCTGAAGGGTCGTCACCCTGTTTTCATCAGCAGAGGGGCAATCCTCAGAGCTCTCCTCCCCTGGCTGTCTGGTGGCTAGGGACCTCGTGTCTCATGACCTGTTTATTAACAATCACATGCACATACCGTTTAGCAGTATGGGCTGGGTGCACATGGGCCTTTCCTCTCTGGCTTCTCCTTCCAAGTACAACTGGTTCGAGGAGGAGGACGGTTGCATCCTTCACTGGCCTCTTACTTGTTGTAGATGTCTCCGGCAATTGAGGCCCGTGCTGGCTGAGTGCAATCATCTGACCAGACAGATCTGCGGACAGCTCTGTTCCGTCATCGAGGACGGAAGATCCGCGCCAGCCACGTGAAATATGATTTGTTGTTTCCTCGGTCTCTACATCGGAATCCTGCAAAAGCTGGTCGAGCTCTCTGACTGGCTCTGCTATCGCGGCTTGACAATGCTCTGACGCGGTGTTCGTGGTCCAGGTAGTCCAGCAGCCTGCTGATCAGAGCATTGTCATGGCGTGATCGCAGAACCCAACCTTGTGCTGTTCGGTGACAGGCATATATCGCGGAAGGTTGTCACTGGTTGTGCGGTGCAAATGTTTTCATCTTTCTCACTGAACCTCCTCATTGGAGGAGTTCTGTGCCGGCCCACTCCTTTGTGTTTTCATTGTGGTAGTCCAGGAGGCCAATGATCTGTCGCAGTCATGCCTCCATGTCCGCTTTTGGCCTTGTGGCAGTATCTTGCCCCTCTTGCGCAGCAGCATAACGACTCTGCGCTGATTTGAACGGATGAACAAGGAACTCAACTGAAGTGAATGACGGATCGTGAATTGCCATTGTATCACAGCCACTGCTACAATTGTCCCCCCGAATAGATAGTATGCGTCATCGTATGGTCATTGTAGCTGCATTTGGGGCAACTTTCAGCCTAGATAGTAGATTCGGGGAAAGGAGGTCATCCTACCACTACAGGCCTGCTTGTAGTACCGTTAGCAGCCCGTAGAAATCTCTGGCCCAGCCATCAGCCGGTCCCAATCCTTGGGCCCGACTGCCCCAACGGATGGCTGGCTCTCCGGATGGGGCTGATTTGGGGAAATTAGAATCTCTGAAGGGTACCCCACGCTTGTGGGCCAGTACGGGAATCAGATCCGTACTGTGCTCGACAGACGGCTGGCCCAGATGGGGCGTCAGCCGATTTGGGGCTTGGGCTGATTTGGAGTAATTGGAGAACAAAAAAGGGTCCCCCAGCAGGGTCCTGGGCCACCCTTTGGTAAAACTTAACCCTGATTTTTTTAGGGGCTACTACCGGTCTGTCAAGCCAAGCCTGACATTGTTGCGGCTCGTACCCTATGTATGCAGTTAACTTTATTAGTTGAAGGGGAAACTACGCGGGAGTCACAAAAATGAGTTATAATTGCACTATGGGCCAAGGTTCAGTTTCAAATTGCAGTTCGGGCAATGCCTACAACCCAGCTTTCTGGCCAGGTAGGGTGCCCAAAGTGCAATTGCGAACGCTATCTTATCTTGCCCCATAGTGCAATTATAACTCGCTTTTGCGACTCCCGCGTAGTTGCCCCTAAATTGAACGAGAGAGTGCGTAGCCAGCATTATTGCATTGAATAGAGGTATGGAATTACTATGAAAATGAACCTTGAGCTCTTGATCTGTTGTTTATAGATGGTTGTCTGCATACCAAGCATGTGTGTATTGTTTTGTTTTGTGTCCAGATTTCGGCTTGGTTTGTTTTTTTTTCTCGTTTTTTTTTTTGTGTGTGTGTTGGGGGGGGGAACTTGGTTTACTGCTGAACTTCTGTTGAATCTGACGTTTTGACTGCTGGTACTGGCTATAGGCAGACGGATCTGTTTTGCTGATTCTGTGATGTTTGTTTAAAATTGGACGGTGCAGGAAAAGTAGCTGGAAGCACGACGATGTGTTCTCCGACGACGCGGACGATGAGGATGAAACAAGACCGCGGAGTGTCTGTCCTTCTGCCAGAAGTGGGGCCAGAACAACTCGTGGTCGACCAGGGACAATAGCCAGCACAAGGTAATTGCGGAATTAGTGTTCGAAGTTTCTAACTGATACTGGAAATTCTGGAACCAAATTCTTTGGTGTTTCTTTCAGTCCAAAATGCTCTTGTTTATTCAACCAAAGCGTTCTGCCAAGTAGCTTTTTTTTTTTTTTTTTTGCCAAGCAGCTATTTAGTATTTACTATTGCAAGGACAATGAGCGAAGTGAAGGGCAGAAACCAAAGTGCATCAGCCCATAGAAATCCAGATAGCCATGTGCTTGTACTGAAAGCAGAATGCAAGACGAGGTACACCAAATAAGAGCAAAACAATGAAGTCAATGGAGAACGAAAGCCCTCTCCTCGCCTCCAACATCAATGTCCCCAATGCCGCTCTCCTATACGGCGCTCGGCACCCAGACGACAATCAGACAACACCTATCACCTAGACTCCCTTCTGATCAGCAGCCTGATGATGACTGAAGACGCCGACTATGGCATCCAGCATATCGTCACCGGGTGAGTGTTCCCGTGCCCCGCTCATCCCGTCTTCCCCTGCAACATCCCCCTCACCCAAGGACCACCGCTCGACTTCCCTGGCTATGCCATGGGTACAAGCCGTGCCTACGTAGCTTCTTCCTCCGGCTGCGCCAGCTCGACTTCCCTGGCTATGCCATGGGTACAAGCCGTGCCTACGTAGCTTCTTCCTCCGGCTGCGCCAGCGCCCATCCACCCTGCCCGGCTCCAGAACAGCAAGCCAGGGCTCCAGGAGTTCTGCCTCCGCTCAGCCAGACAGAATGTGTCGAAGTGAGGCAGCTCACTTCCTTCTGTTTTCTGGCTGTGTTCTCTGGCTGACTGGGCGAGACAGCTCTGGATGCTCGGCCTCTGTCCCAGTTGCTGTGCCCAGGGCCCTTCCAGAATGTGTCTGGGGCTCAACTGTAAGTGCCCTTGGCGTCGAATCTTTGCTGGGCCCAGCATCGGCAACCGATCGGGCCTGCTGGTCGGTTGGAGATGCTGCGTGCAGCAACCAATCCACGGGGCCCTCCCTGCCCGCAATGGCCTCAATTTTCAGGCCTCGTCAAATTTTCAGTGGCCCTCGCTCCTTCTCTCAGGGGCCAGGCGGTCAGCTGCAAACTAGTGGGACAGGACGGGAGGCGTACCGTGTCGGCGCATGCAGACGTCATGGGCTAGAGGGAGAGAGGGGTGGAGGGGGCGTGCCCCGTTGGTGCTCGCATGCGTCCTCAGAGAGAGAGAGAGACGGGGAGGAGGGCGCTTGCCAGTGTTGTGCGCATGAGGATCCTCAGAGATGGAGAGAGAGACGGGAGGAGGGCGCTCACCAGTGTTGTGCGAGAGAGAGAGAGAGAGAGAGAGAGAGAGAGAGAGAGAGAGAGAGA